TTCGACAAATCTGTATTTTCTGAGAAATTAAAACAAACGAATGAGAAAAAAGACAGTCTATCTAATTTTATATTTTCAAATGACATAATTTTTTTTACTTTTTAACTTAAACATATTATTCTTTTAATATTTCTTTTATAATAACTAATTAACGGGACGATACCTTGAGACATACGTTGATGAGTCCCATGTGTTTGTAATTTTACCAGCACCCTTCGAAACCGGAACGTAAACAAACACTAAGTTAACCGGCCACACTTTTGCAAAAACACATGGTGGCGTGTGTATAATAAATAATATGATAACAACAACAATAATATTAATAAGAAGCCTCTGCAATATGAAAACTACATTCGCATATTTCGTCGTTAGGTTCTCAACCCGTCCTACAATGTTACAAGGATATTGTCACGTATTGTTTCAATGTCAACTTACAATACATATACGAGGCATACTTGCATCTTTTGCAATTTGGCCTTTTGCAATTACCAAATTTTATAATCCATTCATAAAATTACTGTTTTTTACTTATAAAATGCAACTCTAAGCGCGTATGAGCACTGCATCCGACTTGTATTTGTTTCGAACCCGAGACTACACAAATCTGGAGGACTTCGACCCACTTCGGATGTCGCTTGAGCGCTAAGTCCAATTCGAATCCCAGAAAATACGAATATCGCTTGTACACCTAGAGATAAAATCCTATATCCTATATCCTATATCCTTGTGACATTTCGGTCTGTCATTTCTCGGATGTAGTGCGTAAATGCTTTATGTATCATTAAACGGTCATTTCGTTATCAAAGCATGTCCATTCAAAGAATTTTTGAAGACGGAGACAAGTGAACATTTGAAGGGTCTATGTCGGGCAAATATACTGGATGAGGTAAGACGTCACAAACTAACTGCAATAGTTTTTGACGGCTTTGTAAATGTGTACGACATCTTTACGATTCACCATTTCTGGGCGTTTTACTTTAAAACATTCCTGCCTGTTTTAAAAAATGTGCGCTATAATATTTTTAAATTGACCATAGACAATATAATATTTTGAAAGAAAAAAATTCTTATTTGTTAAAGTTAAAGGTAAGCCAGTGGCAAAAAACGCACTGAGTTTTTGGCCAACCCAGTAGAACGGAAATGCCGTTATCCTACACTGGTTTTGGTTTAACGAGATCACCTTTCCTGAACAAATTTTAACTCCATCGGTCAACAGCTCTCCTGCTAACATTACCGGCCAACTACTACTTCAGTTTACTGATTTTGCAAGCTATGTCGGTTACTTAATTCTCTGATGTACGACCTCATTACGAATTTGGTCCATCACAGAAATCCTAAGCATAGCTCGCACGATTTACGTTTGTGGATAAGGCCTGATGTCAATGTCCACAGGTCATAACCGATAGTACGTATTGTTTGAATGCCTTCTTTTTAGAATCTGTGGATTGACGACTTCCCGAATATGATGACGAAATGCTTAAATAAATATTTCATAAATAAAACACTTTCATTAATTCTTTAATACTTGACGTCAGTGGATCCGCCAAATCGAAAATCTTATTTTTATTTTAAGTGTATGAAAATACATATACCTACCGAAATGTAGAATTTCTTGATCTATCGACACGCAGTAAATGCTTGTAAGTTTTAATATTGGAAACAAAAAATAAGTTAGATGTTTCTAAATCCAAATTTTTTTGACATCATCAAGTAACTTGCAAATTTTTGTAATTAAACACATCAATCATCAAACTAAACTACAAGGTGAAGTGCAAACCAACCTCGCATTCAATTTCCACTAACGTTAATGACTTTCCAGAACGTTTCCAATCAAAGACAAGCAAACAACAAGTATTAGACCCCAAATTGCCACAAGTTTCATTAGGTTGGATTTCAGGTGAATCTCTGTCTTTGTTAAGCTTGGGAATAAACCACTATGTATCTACCTAGGTGACTCAACGGCTAGTATTGTGAGCGCTAGATCAGGAACGTCCCAACCTCAACTCTCAGTACGACCAATTTAGGAAACGAGCTTTTCTGAATTTATTCTGATCTGAGTGTTCTGGATATTGCTCTGATCTTTTCGTTGCTCTAAGACTTGTACAGGGAATTTCCTACTCTGAGACCAGGTAACAGGTGTGGTCATTAAGAATATTAGTGTTTGCTAGTAATTGATTGAGGCCATCATCAAGTATGAAGCCATCATCTTTATTAGTCCAATCTTCATATTTCTGTTTATTATTTGGAGAAGTGGTACTTCCTGGTCTGTCGCTGTGACGCTAAATGCACGAAAACCTTTTCATCGCGTACCTACCTTAAACACTCGTTATTTATTTGGTTTAGCTACATATATTCAAACAACAGCTGCGAAGTCAACTGCATGCAACTACAGTGCAATAGTACCTTTACTTTTTGCACCACGTAGCTATCGGATATAATTTGACATTTTTGTTAAAGCATCATTGATTCGTTTTAAACCTATAAAGTATATTAGCTTTATTTGCCCCTTTTGTTCGCAGTGGGCACTGTAATTCTTTCGTCCGAAATAGAATCAAAAATTAAGTTGCAAGTAATCTCTCTTATTCATCCAAAAAGCCAGGTTTTTTAGAATTTCAACTGTGCTCGTAATTTTAAGGCTTTCCGGTACAAATACATCAAATTCCATTAAAAGTTACTCTGTTTTCTGGTGTCATATTTCCTACTAGTCTAGTCTAGGCGCAGTCTGTCATAGTCTAATCTCATTCTTTAACAGGTGCTATCAAATGATACAGGGGAACCATGTTTACTCTTTTTTATACTGGTTTTATAGAATCTATTTTGTACACTGAATTTTATTCTTATGTACATATAGTAAAATTTTGTCATTCCCTAAATGGTGTAACCATGGAGACAGGATGAGTTAAGCAATACTTACAGGTGTTCAGGTACGTGTAAATGGATGTATATGGACGTGTGAGGAAAGGACGACCTCTGCCACCTTTTATCAGATTTGGAAGATCCAAAATTATATGTATATTATATATGTTTATATAATATTTTTAAGAAGTGGCTAGGCATTTTGCAACTAAGTCTGGCAAACGAGTTTGCCAGTTTCGTTATCAGGTTCTGTCAATGCAAGAGTAGACCTAGTCAGGTTTTTGATGCGCCTCCATGTTTAATTATTTTATTTAATATATAAATAGTTTTAAGTAGTGAAAATAACTCGAAAAAGAAAGCAAAGGTATACCAAGATCGTGGCAGTACGTGGTTTCATGATCTGCGGGAGACAAATATGCATTACGCTGTTTGAAATATCTTCTTTACCTTATATAATATTGTCTTCTTGAACATTTCAATATTTTTCAAAACTTCTAAATCTAATTGGATGATGTCGATACGAGCCACAAAAGATATTACCAAGGGTTGGTCATAAAAATCTACTATAGAAGCATGATAACACCCTTATTTGAAGAAGGAAATGCGATCTTAATATTAAGTACAACATTGAAATAAATTTGCTTTTGAGATTCTTTGTGAGGAGTTAGATTACAGTCCTAAATTTTTTGTAAATGTTCCCCAACGGTGTCGTCACCGTGTATTTATTCACCGTTAAAGCGAGCCATAAATTTAGAATCCATACTGTGCATGGTTCTAAACGATTCTTTCTAAGATAATATCGAAGCAACTTAACATACCCTCAATCAAAGGAGGCGAGGAAATTGCAACATTTAATTCCGCTTTCCCATTTCCATTATCGAGGGATCAGACTTAGGTTCGGCTTCCACACCTATGTTGTCGATATTCCAAGGATTCGCACCAAGTGTATCGCTACCACATTCATATGGCGAACAGTTCATATGGGAACAAGTCAAGTCAAGTGGAATTCCCTGTCTACAGACTTGTTCCCGGAACGATATAACTTGAGCCTTTTCAAGGAGCCGTCGACTTCATCGTCACTTTCCATGAAAGTTAAATGCGCACTTATTTTTTTATTTAAAAAATCCAATACTAGGGTACCTACTAATTCGGCCTTCACTATTATTTTCTCTACATCTGTGTCTTAGGGTTGCTTAGTCAAAGTTTAATCTTCATCGTTCATTGCAATTTAGGCTCCACCCCTCCTCAAAAATTCGTTCACTTAGTTACCGAAAGTCCTGAATAAAATAAAATATACGTACGATCTTAAATATTTTATTTGCTTTTTGGTATTTTTACATGTTAAGTTTGCAATAAAAATGTTACGTTCCAGTACGAAACATTTTCCTAATTCTCTGCCATAATACTTCACTTCCATGTTGTCGTTCCCACCATTTATTATACCGAGCTCTTTCTTAGAGTTATAAAAATATTACTACCCGCTCTCTATAGTTTCATAGTGCAGCATTTTTCATTCTGCGATTTAAGATTTTGTTCTCTCACTCGCTGTTATAAATGGACTCGTGAGATTTGGAAAGATTAAATAGGTTCCGGAAATGAAATTGTAATGTCATGTCAACTGTGGACTTATTACCTGTGATTTCTTGGGAGACTGATAAATGCGATGTTACCAGTTTGTTTCTACAATTTAATTTTGGTACGTTAGTTGGCGTAGTTAGTCTCATTGTTCAAAGTTACAAAGCTTTCTTTAGGGTACAGTTGCAACTTCGGCAAAGATTCATCAGGCGTGAACAGCATATACATAAATAAAGGAATGACTATATAGTGGCCAATAAATGGTTATAGAAATTTGAGATATCCATCAGCGAGATGGGTAGACGACATCATCAAAGTCGTAGATTTGTGAAACGAGTTCATGATCCTGGTGAATAAAACAAACTACTGAAGGGATATGCTTGATGTGATGAAGTTAAGCCATGGAGAATGATGATGAACAGCATATTATTAGCACTTGGCCACTATAATGCGATAGAACCAAAAGAAAGCAACTATTTTATTGCGGTCAACACTTTTTTTGTGTATACAATGTCTGAAGAACTTTATCTAAACAATTGTGTGACAAGTACTTCTATTTGTTTATACAGGCAAGCAGCGGTTGGCGCGTAGGCAGCATGCCGCGCGCCGGCGCACTCTTGCTGGCGGTAGCGGCTGTCCTGCTCACCACCGAGTGGACGCACGCCTCTTACATTGATCCCGGTTTGTTATGATATAACAGCGTCTAATGATTTTTTAGATATTATGATAAATTTATCTCGAAAATTAAATAACTTTTAAATACAAGGATTAAAAAGGACTAATTACTAAAAAGTTATTATAAATATTTTGACTGAAAATTGGAAATATAATATTATGATGTGCATCGGAATATTTCTTGCCTATAATAGATTTGACAAGTCAGCCACAAATCCCAACGTAGGTACATCAGAAAAGTCAGTTAATCTTGCTTATCTCAACTTACTGCTTACATAATCTTAACCTACCACCGTTCTAAAGTATAGTTTTACAACTTTGTTTCTTTTTGGGCCACAGGAGACGAAGACATCGAAGTCAATTTGCCAGATTACGGAGAAGATCCAGCCGATCTGCAGTTGCTACAGGATGTTGGGAAGTTAGTATATTAAGTTTTTTGAACGTTAGCCAACTCTTGTAAAAGTTTCGGAATCACAATGTTTCCCTTGTTGTACATAATGATAAAATGTTAATAGTTATCAAGACCTGCATGCTTCCTGAGCACATAAATGTAATACACCCGAGCACAAACTTAGGCTAGTATTCGATGATGTGGTTTCAGACGTTCGTCGCTGATCTACGTTTTCAGGCGAGCCTGTATCCGGCGAGGCGGCAACTGCGACCACCGGCCTGGCGACTGCTGTCACTCGTCCTCATGCCGGTGTAACCTCTGGGGGTCCAACTGCCGCTGTCAGCGCATGGGCCTCTTTCAGAAGTGGGGCTGAAGACACCACCCACTAAGCTCCCTTGAAGCGGCGACCAACTCCCGCCAGCCGACTTGACCGCCGCTCCACCGGACGCGACAACCATTGCGTTTTACTAACGGACCCGTTGCGTTCTTGCGTTACCACTTTTTCTTTCTTATTTCACCTTGTATTCCGTAGCGTATCTTAAAGTTGGAAAGATTCGAATCCAAAACAGGGACCTAGATTTTAGTTTGCAAATATTTTTGGACCTCTTTATTATACAAAATCTAGAAATGGAATTCGTTTGAAATCGTAGTTCTTTCATGTTTCGTTCATATTATACTTTTTTTTTATCTGATTGAGCCGAGCGTCCGCTTACGTGGTTGGGCAATCACCCAGCCTTATTGCCCAATCTGTACGCTTCGACACAAGCTCGGCCAATCAGACTCTGCAACTGCCTCTGGCGATGCGTTCTTGGGTTTGCTTTTAGTTTGACTTTTGATTTTTCCAAGGAGCCCATCGCCCCGCAGGCAGTACACTTCTATCGCAATGTATGTATGTAGAGTTAAGTAAGCTAACGTAGAGAAGTAAAGCAGTAGCTGCTAAAATTGGTGGTAAACTTATGTCAATAGGAAGTAGTCACTACAAAATAGAGAAAAACATAAATGTAACTTTAATCGTAAATGTTCTAGTCATTTAAGAGACTAACGGTAAAGAAAAAAACTTGGTGAAAGACGCTATAATAAGCCTTTATATAAAACAACGCCACTTGTATTTGCGATTGGCAACTTAGGTTTTTAACTACACATAAAGCATATATAATTAAACGAATCTTTAATGTACTCTATGCAACTCTCGGACAGGGGGTATATTATGGTATTGCAGCCTATGAGCCTAGTAGATTCTTCTGTACGTAGTTTCTTATATTGTATGTTTCTGATCGTGGAATATGATAATTGTATTATTAATATTGGAATATGGAAATGATAAATTATATTAATAAATGTTTATGGACGATTCGAGTGTTTTATTTAAATATTCAAATCATATCAAATAAGTTATTTCGTTGTGTTATAAAGTTGTTGCAAATAATGAATTTTGAATCACTGTGTGTTGTAACATGCAAAGTTTAGTTCTTGTGACATGGAAATGTAGAAAAGTCTGGCCTACGATGGCGTATCCGATAAGAGTACGCAAATTTGAATCCCGAGAAGTTATTTGCAATACGCAATTAACTTCAGTGTCATTTTGTAATGTTAGGAAGTGGAGTATGTTGTTCGGAAAAATATTCAAAAGTTGAAGATGGAGTAGAGCTTCTTGTGAAAGAGTTCGTCCCGGGTAATACTGCCACTTTATCCATTTCTGCCGCCAAGCAGTAATGTCAGCATTACTGTGTTCCGATTTTGAAGGGTAAGGGTGCTGGTGAAATTACAGGCATATGGAACTTGTCAACTTATGTCTCAGTATGACGGGCACAGTGGTAGTGGTATGATTACCCAGATCTTTGCGATTTATAGCTCTGAGTGGCACTGTAACTGTTATGGACAGGCGTGTAGCTTACCATCAGACGCACGACTTGTTCGTCCCGTCACTTGATGTTATTAAAAAAAAGTTTTGAAAAAAAAAGTTGAAAACCAAACTGCGTAAGTCTGAACATTTTTATGCATTTGCTTGAAACTTTTTGGTATTTTCAATTGTAACTGAGACTAAAGTAAGCTTATTTTGTAAAAACTGACTTTCTATCAAATCGACACACACTCATCTAGAAGTCAAACTATCACTTGTAATATATGGGGTTACACTAAAAATAATCTAGGATGATCCGTGTGACAGTTCATAAAAATCTGCATAACCTTGTAGTTTAAAGTTTTCAATAATTTAATGAATAAATATATCGCACTGCTATTAAATAGTGTTATAACTCAAAATATGTGAAATTCTAGATAATACCATTGTTTAACGTAAAATTTGATTCCTACACGTCAATAAAATCGTCATTAAAATATTGTAAAAAACAACTTAACTACTTAACTCAAAATGAGACACGCCTTATATGAGCTAGTTTTGGCCAAATACATTTTTTGAGTTAATACACTATTGTATTAACATTGCGATGTTCCGTATATTCATTGTTATGGTATGAATTTTAACCATACACAGTAAATTAATATGTCAGTGTTATTACTTTTTTGTAAATTAATGATATCACGATAAATGGTTTTTGAAGTTTACTAAAATATCTATTGAAGTTGCTCTTAAATTATAGTTATGTGTTTTATACCTTCAATACAATACAAAACAGTTTACACGTCTATACATCGTTCAGATTACGTCTTAAAAATAAAACTGTAACAGAGAACGCTTGCTTCAATAATAAAATACACCAAATATCAATCGATTTTACATCATCCCTTTTCAACGCTAAAAAAGTGTCACAGGGATCATCCTAGTTTATATTTAGCATAGTAACATTTTTATTCTGTAATAGCTGAAGTATGCAAGAGTACGTGATTCCATGTGTTGCAAGAGCCATTCTTCAGTCTTAGACCATTTTTTTTATAATAGTGTGCTTCTGAATAAAATTTCTGCCGCTGTGCCTCGTTCACAATCAATTGAAACTGATTGCGTGTCCTGAGGCATGTGCTGCGAATGTTCCTGAAATATCGGCTGCAAGTGCGCCTAAAGCACCACCACCACTCTAGCTGAGGTATGTCTCGTGCCACAAGTAGACTCTTCTCGACTCTCCACGAGCAAAGGCTCGTTTGTACCGAGACAAAAATCACACTACCGAAAGGCATGAAGGTGATAAACGATGTCCTTTCAAGAAAGGTGTTGCGTACTCTTGCCGACGCACATACGTAGGTACTCTTTACCCATAAGTACAGTGTAAGAGCACGCAAATCCCAATTTGAACTTTTTAATTTATTATTATTATTACAACTACATTATTAAATATAACTACTTCTCACGTTACTATGTACGAGTCAGATAAGTAGACTATTAAATAAAATAATAGCTGATTTTCTAAAACTTTTTGTTTTCACTCTACACCACCTCAAACCTTAAGTGCGTCCTCTTAAACTAATACTAACATATAATCTTAAACCTCAAATTTTACAAGAAGCCTTCAATATTGTACAATGTCATATCATTCAGGTTATTAAATAATAATTTCTTAAATTTTGCACAATTATTGAAATTCCTAACTTCACTCAGAAGTTTGTTGTGGATATTTCTAGCCATTACTATTACATTCTTTTGAAATAGAGCAGTTTTACATGATCTAGTTTTCAGTTGATCAGAACGGCACACCCGTGTGACAAATTCAAATAAATAGGGATGACGCTTTACGAAAAGTAAAATTTCTGAAATATATATATATATATATATATATAAGGATGGTAGAGTCATGAGAGCAGGTTTTTCAATATTACATAGCAGATTACGATTAGTCTTTATACTTAAGTAATTTCAGCAGAAACAGACCTTAATTATCCCAACACTGTGTTAATCCACATGATAAGGTATACACAATTTTCATCGAAGTTTAAGGCCAAAACCCAATTAACAGATTAGCTTATTGCAAACTGAGCAAAAAAACAATTTCTCTTCCGTTTTGTTGACATCGATCATTTAGATCGCCAATTCATCCGACGTTTAGCAACTTTGTTATTACAAAAGTTTGTCTTTTTCGGTCCATCAATGTTAGTAATCCCATTACTTCTAATCATCTTTTTAATTGTATTTAATTCTGCAAGGTTTCATAAATTTTCGATGATTAACATTGTTTAGGGCACAAGAAAGTAATTAAGAACTTTAATGCTTTCTGTTATCTGTACTGAAAAAATCTGACTCTTTTCAATTGGAGTTTGGAATCAATCAGATGTTTCGAGCCTATTAAGCACAATAATTGCAGCAACAATTTTAATCATGTTGCGATTAAGATGAAGCGTAATAGATACCATCAAGTCCTTAGTAGTGCGTAGTAGTAAGATAAAAGAATTTAAAAAGATTCTATTTTTTATAGTGTACCCAGCTGGATAAATCAATTGTGTTCCATGTTATTTTAATCTATGTTAGAAGTTTAAAGAAAACTATGATAATAACCTATCTTGTTGTTCATGCTCCGAAGAAAGAACTACTAAAGTTGAATATATTATGGAAAAGGTTCTAAAATGCAGTAAACTAAGTAATACCGAGAACTTGTTAACATTTAATGAAACAGTACTTGTAATGGAACAAACTAATTCAAGATAAGTCTTCCAACTAATTAGACACCTACGAGAGAAGGCAGATACCTAAATCTAAACCTAAATACTTACATGGTATCATATGAATTATTAACATCTTAGGTAAATATCCCAAGAAAGCTGGTAAAGATGCTTATTGTCAAAGTTGACAAACTGAAAAGTCGTTGCAGACTTGTCAAGTTCTTGACCAAGCACTGGTCACTAATATCGTTCCGGGATTTAATCTAACAGTTTCTTGCTGAAGCAGACATACCCAGTTGCGATATACGTAACAGGTGATTTATATTAAGGCAGTTATATATTGACAAAGGACTCTGTTTTATTAAAGGCCAGTTATATTATGTATTGAAGTTCATAAATACATATTTATTACTTTGAGGAAAGTACAAGCACGACAAGGAACGATAGTAGAATTTGTCAAATTGATTACGTCAATCCTGAATGATTCGCCTTTGTAGGCTTGAACTATTTATCTTCGTTCAAAAAACACGCTTCGACGGTCTTGAATTCGTCAACCTATCAACCACTACAAGTTAAATCGTCGATATATCATTGTAAGCCTGGTAAGGTCATGTACGTCAGAAAATATGTAGTGCCAGGTGATAGGCGGAATTGTGCTACACTAGGATTTGATATCGGGAGTATGACAACCGACAAAAGATTAGAGATAAAATAATTGCACAAAAACATACTAATATGTAGTCTATTTATATAATCCAATGCAATAGATATTGAATGCAGATAAGGAACTATATTTAACCTGCCGATATACATTTACAAGAAGTGTTGTTTTGTCCTTGAAACAAACCGCCAATGAAACGCCCGTGTATGCAGCGTTTTTGGATCTCTCTAAGGCATTTGACCTGGTTAATTATTACTTGCCATGAACTAAATTGCGAACTCTGAAGATGCCCATTGAAATAATAAATACATTCCATTACTGGTACAGTCACCAAATAATCAAATCAGATAGTTGGGTGCATTGTCTGAAGAATTGTTGGAGTGGGGGTAAACTGAGAGTGTTAGGACGTGGTAGAGTGAGAAATGTAAGTGTAGTGTGAAGATGGAGACACGGAGTTGGAGGCCTCTGCCCTAGACTCTTGGTGACTGAGGACAGAGTTGCAGAACCGAAAAGCAGCGATGTTGTACGCTGGATAGGGGCCGTAGAGTGGAACCAGTGGGCAGCAAGGAATAGCGACGTGAGGGCGGTGGTAGTGCAGCAGTGGATTATATCACTTTGTACTCGGAGGTGGAGTTCTACTTCATCTTGACCGTCGGCTTCAGTTACTCCTGCCGCCCCAAACTCGCTTGGTGAAGGTGAGGCACACAGTCCAGGTAAGTCCAGGTAGTGAAGATCAGGTTTAGCGTGAGGCAATAAAGGAACTGGTCATCAGGCGGAGCGTAAAGTGAAGACCAGGTTTAGCGTGAGGCAATAAAGGAACTGGCCATCAGGCGGAGCGTAAACGTGAAGACCAGGTTTAGCGTGAGGCAATTGAGGAGCTGGTCATCAGGCAAGCGCGTAAGTGCGGTTGAAGTAAGGCCAGGTGTAGGGCTTCGAAAAGGTGAGACTTCGTATATTTACTAGATTTAGTGAAGACCAAATACCTCCAAGGTCGGTACAAGAATGAGGAGCGTTTGTTAGAACGAGAGAGACCATCGAAATTGAATAGCCAATTTTGA